GAATCTACGCCGCTTCTCCTTTGGCTTACTCTTACAACACTCCAGTAGTAGCTTCCGCCTACGCTCACTCTCCATTGGTAGCTTCGACTTATGCCCATAGCCCATTGGTAGCTGCTTCCACCTACGCCCACAGCCCTTTGGTAGCTGCTGCCACCTATGCTCATAGCCCAGTAGTAGCTGCTACCTCCTACGCCCATGGATACTCCCATCCATTGGCTTACGGCAAATACGCTCACTACTATTGAGAATCTACATGAAATTATGACTGTCTTAATCAAACATTGACAACACTAGTAAAATTGTACCTTTTTCTATAATAGAAATTAAAAATATTAATAACAAAAATAAACAATATTATTTTATTCCTTAAAATAATTGCAATAAACCAAAATTTACCCAATTACAATTAACTACATCAAACGCATTCTAAAAGTGTAATTAAGATAATTATTTTTATTAAAATCTATATCAAAATACAAATAACCAATAAATTTATTATGATTATTTGCAATGAAAATTTTACATTACTTTTATATCACTTATATAATGACGTTTAAAACATAATTAAGGTGTCTTTAGCAACTGTCAAATGATAATAAGAAAAGTATAATATGTGCATAGCAACTGTCAAATCATATTAAAAATTAATAAGGAGTTCTTGAAAACAGTCAAAAAATACTAAGATATCTTCAAAAAAAAAACATTAATAATTATAGATTATTTAAAATAATCAGAAATTAAAATAAAAACAATCTCATAATATAAATAACCAATAAATTTATTATAATTGTACATTAATTTAATTTCACATTTTCTTTATTTTACAATTTTTTTTTCTAATTATTCTTAGATAATACAGTTATTCAAATTGTATTGTTAATTACAAAATTCTGATAATGTACATGAAAATGGCTAAAATTTAATTATATTTAAAAAAATACACTTTTTATTTGCATTAGAACTAAGAAATGTTATCAACTACAAATTTATTTTATTATTAATATTTTCCATATAAAAAATTGACTTCAGTTAAGTGATTAATTTATAGTCATGACGTTTTTTAATAATATTTCTTTATTACGTAATATTTTATGGAAACTATTATATTAGTTTCATATTTTTTTTTAAATATATAATTAAACTTATTTTTTTTAACATTGCAATTTGATCAAATAATTTAAAAGTCGTCAAACTAGATTACTTCTTGTTTACTCTATAATTATTCATGCATAAGAATAATTTGTGCGTTTGCTAAACTAGACTTTCGTTGACGGAACAAAAATAAAAGAAATGTACAGTGCGACAACCCTGAGACAAAGTCGAGGATTGGGAGAGGGACCTTGCCAGAATTACATGATTCTTTTTCGGTATAAAAGCGCAGAACTCTTCATCTACCAGCACAGTCTTAACAGTCCTATCCAAAAGGAGGTTTAAGTAAATCATCAAACATGAAATTCTTGGTACGTTCTTAAATTATAATTCAATCTTTTTGGTTCTTACTAATTACTTTTATATCTATTCTTCAGGTTGTATTCGCTTGCGCTTTGGCCGCTGTATCCGCTGGATACGTATCTCCAGTTGTCTATGGAGCTCAACATCTTCCTTTGATTGGAGCTGATGGTGTACCAGTTGATACCGCTGAAGTACAACACGCCAGGGCTGCCCATTTGGTCCATAAAGTCAATGTACAAGCTCGCAACGGTGACTACTTTCATCATGGACTTGTAGGTGCCGCTCCAGTCGTTGCCCATACTGGATATTCTTCCCATTTGGCCGCTCCAGTTGTTGCCCATCACGGTGTATACTCTGCCCATCACGTCCCAGCCGCTTACCCAACCACCCACGTTCTTCCGACCAGCGTCAACGGAGTCCCATTGGAAACCCCAGAAGTTGTAGCCGCTAAAGTCAACCATTTCGCCGCCCACGCCGAAGCTTTGACCCGCAACGCTCATGCCCTTCACTACCGTAAACGTCGTGGAATCTACGCCGCTTCTCCTCTGGCTTACTCTTCCGTTGCTTACAACACCCCAGTCGTAGCTTCCGCCTACGCTCACTCTCCATTGGTAGCTTCCACTTATGCCCATAGCCCATTGGTAGCTGCTTCCACCTACGCTCACAGCCCTTTGGTAGCTGCTGCCACCTATGCTCATAGCCCAGTAGTTGCTGCCACCACCTACGCCCATGGATACTCCCATCCATTGGCTTACGGCAAATACGCTCACTACTATTGAGAATCTTCATGAAATAATGACTGTCTTAATCAAACATTGACAACACTAGCTCAATTGTACATTTATTTTTCTATAATAGAAAATAAAAAAAATTAATTCAAACATAAACATTTCTATATTACTTCAAACCAAATTACTTCCTATTTTATCCCAAATAAAACACAATTACATGGAATTTTTCTAAAAATAATTATAAACAATTTATTATATTAAAAATTTGTAATTTACAACAATTTGTATAATAATTATATTAAAATCTACAAAATAATTGAAACTTTGTACATATCAGGAAAATTTATATAAATCTGTTGATGAAATGACATTACATTAGTTGACACAACAATTGTTAATGATAATTATTCATGATTTTGATCATTTTTATTGCATCTTCATATTTTTTTCTCTTTGGACGCTTATTATATCTTTATATTATTTAAAGCAAAAAAGAAATTTCAGCCTATCATTAAAGCCTATTGCCAATTTTATCTTCCATTAGTTCATTTTACTTAATTACTTAAAAACCACATATGCTAATTAGATAATGTAATACTCATACTAAAGATAAATCCATAATCTTTCTAAATTTGTCTATCAACAAATTTATGGTGTTCACCATAATTATGTAATAAACATAATTGAAAATAATTTTATATACATATGCTTTTTGGATCATTTGATAAACAAATTAAAGACAAGACTATCGCTTTTCCAATAAACTTACATGTAAATTAAACAAAATTTAATGAAAAGGCGGTTTGAAAAGCAACCAGAGTTGAAAATATAATATTTCATCAAATATTATAATTGTTCAAAAAAGTTAATTAATTTATTTTTTAATTTTGTTTTGTTTAAGTTATCAAGGTTTGTTTAAATGAAAACTCTAAATAAGTGTAAACTTCATGTGGTATTGTCATAAATCGTTTATTGAATTGACTATTTTCCGCATTGATAAATTAATGCCTACGATGTATTTACATTGAAATCACATTTTGACAGTTAATGGTAAATTCTTCTTAGTATTTGTAGTAGTGGGCCAATGGGGTGGCGTAGGAATATGGATGGGCGTAGGCGGAAACAATTGGTGCATGGGCTGCTACGACGTGATGGTAATCACCGTTGCGGATTTGAGCGTTGACTTTGTGGACCAAATGAGCGGCTCTGGCGTGTTGAACTTCGGCGGTATCAACTGGTACTCCTTCACCGTTGATGAGCGGCAAATGTTGGGCTTGGTAAGCGATTGGAGCGGTGTAAGCCAGAGGAGCGGCGGCGAAGATTCCACGACGCTTACGGTAGTGAAGAGCGTGAGCGTTGCGGGTCAAAGCTTCGGCGTGAGCGGCGAAATGGTTGACTTTAGCAGCTACAACTTCTGGGGTTTCCAATGGGACTCCGTTGACGCTGGTCGGAAAAACGTGGGTGGTTGGGTAAGCAGCTGGGACGTGATGGGCAGAGTATACACCGTGATGGGCAACAACTGGGGCGGCCAAATGGGCGGAATATCCAACTGGAGTGGCAGCTACAAGACCATGATGAAGGTAGTCACCGTTGCGAGCCTCAACATTGATCTTATGGACCAAATGGGCAGCCCTAGCATGTTGGACTTCAGCGGTATCAACTGGTACACCATCAGCTCCAATTAAAGGAAGATGTTGAGCTCCATAGACCACAGGAGCTACAAATCCAGCTGACGCAGCGGCCAAAGCGCAAGCAAATACAACCTACAATCAAAAATATTATTAAAACCCAAAAATTAAATTAGAACCAATCAATTAAACTTACGAAGAATTTCATGTTTGCAGTTTTAAATTCTTTAACCTCCTTGACTCGAGGACTGTTAAAAGACTGTGCTTAAGACGATCGCTCGGACAGTTTATATACTCGAAAACACGCAAGGTCCCACTCACCGTGGAAGTAAAAATTTCGCCTCAGGGTTATCATCAAAAATATTTCTGCTCCGCATTTCAAAGCAAAACAAAAAGAATTAAAGTGATATACAGAAATAATTACATAATCGTTAAGTTAATTGTAATAATATTAAGCGCACTGTTTTTTTTTAGTTTTCTTTTTTATACGAAATTCTTTATTTTGAAGGTTTTCCTTTTTAATTAATTAAATTTATACAGTGCCAAGTATTCTATAAATTCTGTTATAATTGTTATATTTCAAAAGATTTATCAACATTAATTTCAGTTTTTTTTTCTCTCTCATTAATTTAAAGCATAAAAAATTTGATAATTTACATCAATTAATATTTTAAAATTTCAGAATTTGTTCATTAGTAATATTCATGATATATTACAGTAATCTGTACGTTTCTAATATCATATTACATTTATGTTCTTTTTCACATTAGACAACTAAAGTTTACAATATTTTTAAGTAAATTTTAATTAATTGAAAAAAATCTTAATAATTGTTAAATATATTCACTTTTTTTTATAGTTATCAATAAATAATTTACATTTATTTTGTTATATTTCAAAATATTTATCAACATTAATTTCAGTTTTTCTCTCTCATTAATTTGAAGTATAGAAAATTTGATAATTCACATCAATTAATAATTTAAAATTTCAGAATTTGTTCATTAGTAATATTCATGATATATTACAGTAATCTGTACGTTTCTAATATCATATTAAATTTATGTTCTTTTTCACATTAGACAACTAAAGTTTACAATATTTTTAAGTAAATTTTAATTAATTGAAAAATTTCTTGATAATTGTTAAATAGATTCACTTTTTTTATAGTTATCAATAAAATTTACATTTCTTTTCTTCAATACTTATTAGAAAATAGTGAAAACAAATTTTAATTAAGAAATATTTCATTGAAAACATACAATTACAAAAAAAATAGAAAAATAATGTATATTTGATTATTTTACTTGTGATTTAATTGCAAGAACTTTTTGAGTAATTTATGATTCAACAAGAAATATTGAAGGAAAATACTTTTAAATATAATCAATAAATATAAGTAAATCTTATAAATAAGTTTACAATGTTTAATTTGAAAGAACAAAATGTAAATTTTGAAAGAAATAAAGTTGATTTCAATTAGAATGATTCTGTTGTAAAGGAATAAAGAAATTAAGTATTTCATATTTTATTTATTCAATTTATTTGTGTAAAAATTGCAAATTACAAAAAATTATAGCTGGTTTTTCTCTTTGATGTTCGTTCAATAATGATGAACGACTGGGGTGGTGTAGCCGTATGGGAAAGCTCCATAGTTGTAAGCGGAGTAAGCGACTGGAGTGTAGACACCACGACGATGACGGTACAAGACGTGAGCATCTCCGTTACGAACCAAAGCCTCGGAGTGAGCGGCGAAATGCTTGCTCTTTGCAGCTACAACCTCTGGAGTTTCCAATGGGACTCCGTTAACGTTTCCTGGATGAACGAGAGTGGTTGGGTAAGCAGCTGGAGCGTGGGCAACAACTCCATGGACTGGAGCGTAAACTGGAGAAGAGTAAGCGGATACAACTGGGGTTTGGGAGACGAGAGAACCGTGGGTGGAGTAGCTGGAGACGACTGGAGTTTGGGCAGAGTAAGTGGAGACGACTGGAGCTACGACTTCGGTAGCGAAATCACCGTTACGAGCGTGAGCTTCAAGGTGAGCGGCGAAATGGTTACTCTTGGCAGCTACAACTTCTGGGGTTTCCAATGGGACTCCGTTAACGTTTCCTGGATGACCGTAGGTGGTTGGGTAAGCTTCTGGAGTCTTAGCTACAACAGTGTGGACTGGAGAAGAGTAAGCTTGAACTACTGGGGAAGCAGCAACGACTGGAGATCCGTGAGCGTAAGCGGAGACAACTGGAGCTACAAAATCTCCGTTACGAGCATGAGCTTCAACGTGAGCAGCGAAATGATTGCTTTTGGCAGCTACGACTTCTGGGGTTTCCAATGGGACTCCGTTAACGTTTCCTGGATGACCGTAGGTGGTTGGGTAAGCTTCTGGAGTCTTGGATACAACAGTGTGGACTGGAGAAGAGTAAGCTTGAACTACTGGAGAAGCAGCAACGACTGGAGATCCGTGAGCGTAAGTGGAGACAACTGGAGCTACGAAATCTCCGTTACGAGCGTGAGCTTCAACATGGGCAGCAAAATGATTGCTCTTGGCAGCTACAACTTCTGGAGTTTCAAGAGGAACTCCGTTAACGTTTCCTGGATGACCGTAGGTGGTTGGGTAAGCTTCAGGAGTCTTCACCACAACTGGAGTGTGAGCTACACCGCTGTAGACTGGAGAAGAGTAAGCGGAAACAACAGGAGATCCATGGACGTAAGCAGAGACGAAATCTCCGTTACGAGCGTGAGCGTCAGCTTTGTGCAAGTAATGAGCGGCTTTGGCGTGTTGTACTTCCGCGGTTTCAACAGGAACTCCATTGGCTCCAATCACAGGAAGATGTTGAGCTTGAGAGTAGACAACTGGAGCAACATATCCAGCTGAAGCAGCGGCCAAAGCGCAAGCAAATACAACCTGAAACAAACACAATTAACTGGAAATAATTGGAACTAATTAAAAGAAACTTACGAATAATTTCATTTTTTTTTGCAATTCGGATTCTTAAACCTCCTGAATTAGGACTGTTTTTGAACTGTGCCAATTGCAACGTGCATTCCGGTTTATATACGCCAATTTCGATGCAGTTTCTTATTTTTTTTTTTTGGTTTGTCTTAAGTTTTCGGGTGCGCCTTTAAAACACCTTTCACCTTGACCAAAACTAATGCAGATACAAAGAAAAGAGTAAATCAACTCTTAATGAGAAGCAATAACAAATAGTGCAGATTGAGACGAAGAAAAAAATTGATTTGCATATCTTAAACGATTGCTCAGATTTATTACATAGTGCATATTGGTTTAAGTAGTTCGGAATATTTCTATAGAATTAATGATTAAGATTAAAGCGTTTAAATAGTTGGTTTACGTAATTCTATAATAATTTGATAATACGTATTGATACAGCATTTTCAACTTTGACAGATTATAACAAAAGATGTATAGAAACCATATATCTCATAGTAGGATTATTTCAAAGTGTAGAGTTTTTTCTTTCATATGCGTATTGAATTAAATAATTGAATTGCGTAATTATCGATTAATTAAGTAAAACTTGAAGACACTGTTTTTTTTTGTCAAACCCCATGTTTATTACAATAAAGTGGTAAAATTCACAAAAATAGCAGGAATGATCATAGTTTTGTCCTTAAGTTGCATAATTGAGGAAATCATTGGTTTACGTAATTATATAGTTTTTAGTTAATAAGTATTGATGCAACATTTTTAAATTCGATAGTTTATAACAAAAGATGTATGCATACCACATATATCACAGTAGGCTTATTACAAAGGTTAGAGTTTTTTCTTTAATTTTTGTATTCAATAATCTAATTAAATTATGTAGTTATAGAGGAATTAGATAAAACGTGAAGATACAAACTCGAATTTTAATGCTCAATTTTGATAGTTTATTACAAGAAAATGGTAAACTTTACAAATTTAGCAGCAATCGTATTGTAATAACCATATTTGTATCTTTAAGTTACATAATTGATTATATAGTACTTGATTATATAGTAATTAGATAATATGTCTTGATACAACATTTTTAACTTTGATAGTTTATAACAAAAGAAGTATGAATACCATATATATCAAAGTAGGCTTATTTCAAAGTCTAGAGTTTCTTCATTAAACTAAATATTGAACTAACTAATTGACTTGCGCACTTATCGAGTAATTAAATAAAACGCGAAGACAATATTTTTTTTCAAACTTTAATTTTAATGCTCAATTTTTATAGCTTATTACATGAAAATGGTAAACTTTACAAATTTAGCAGTAATTGCATTGGAATAATCATATTTTTGTCTTTAAGTTGTATAATTGAGGAAATAATTGGTTTACTTTATTATATAGTAATTAGATAATATGTATTAATACAACATCTTCAACTTTGATAGTTTATAACAAAAGAAGTATGAATACCACATATATCAAAGTAGGCTTATTTCAAAGTCTAGAGTTTCTTCATTAAACTACATATTGAACTATCTAATTAACTTGCGTACTTATTGAGTAATTAAATAGAACGCGAAGACAATGTTTTTTTTTAAACTCGAATTTTAATGCTCAATTTTGATAGTTTATTACAAGAAAATGGTAAACTTCACAAATGTAACAATAAACACATTGGAATAATCATAGTTTTGTCTTTAATTTGCATCATCGACGAATTAATGAGTTTATCTAATTATATAATAATTTTATAATAAGTAAATATACAACATTTTATTGTAAAATGTTAGAGTTCTTCATATCTCGAAGTAAGCTTATTTTAAAGGCTAGAGTTTCTGCTTTAATTTTTGTTTTGAACTATCTAGTTGACTGACGTATTACTCGATAAAGTAATTAAAACGTAAATGTATCTTTTTTTTTCCAAACTCGAATTTTATTGCTCAAATTTGATAGTTTATTACAAGACAATGGTAAACTTTACAATTTTGGCAGTAAACGCATTAGATTTATCATAGTTTTGTTTTTAATTTGCATAATCGACGAATTCATTGCTTTTCCTAATTATATAATAATTTGATAATAAGTATTGATACAGCATTTCGAATTTTGAAAGCTTATAACAAAAGATGTATGAAAATCATATATCTCATAGTAGGCTTATTTCAAAGTCTAGAGTTTCTTCTTTAATTTACAAATTGAATTATCTAATTGATTTACGTACTTATCGAGTAATTAAATAAAACGTGAAGAATCACGTTAAATTTTCTTGTTAAACGTTGACAGGAAAAATACAAATATTTTCATAGTTGATTAATTTGAACTACTTTACGCAACATATAAAAGTTGCATCACATCTATTATCTTCCATTTAATTGAAGCAATCGTGATTAGTTTTTTAAACTATCGAAAGAAAGAAATAGAGGCGTAATCGTCGACCTTGCGTTGAGTAAACTGCAGTTAACCGTGATCGAATCGAAACGCAAGAACTAGTTCACTTTTCGACACGGCGACTCCTGTTCTTGGGCAACCTCAAATGCACATCCTGAATGCAGTAAAACGCGCATTTCGACAAAAAATTTCATTACAAACAAAAATCCATCTTTTCTAATCCATCGCTTTTCCCATCGCACTTCTTTTACAATAACCGTAAAGGCGTTTCAACGTTTCTTGAGCAAGAATCCATACAGTGATCACGTATTCCGCGCGTCACGTCCATCCAGTTCCAACTGGATGGACGTGACGTGACGAATGCTGTGCCGTCACCGTCAAGGTGATCATCGGCATTCCCAATTTCACACAAAATAAAATACAATTTCGATTTCATTTTTCAATGATATTTCATAAATATATATTAATTATTGCTGTTGATTTATGCGTTACGTGTGCTTATTGTGTGAAATAATAATCGGTTTCGCTCTTATTAACCGCATTATCGCAATTACTCGCCCATTTACCAAGGTAATTTGATTAAAACGGACGTTATTAATTTCAAGTATTATTAATATGTTAGAATTTGTTATGCATTTCATTAATTAATTTCTATATATAAACATATTATATGCACAATCTAGATCAGAATTGATTGCATAATTTTATATGGTAAACGAATTAATGAATGGAATTTATAGAAATGAATTTAGTAATAAATTGAATTTACAAATAAATTAAAATGTATTGCTAAAAACTAAATATATTTATTATTTTTTATGATGTAATAAAATTATAATATTTATATTAAAATATAGTTAAATATAAATTGATATAAATTTATTCAATAGAAAATAAATTATGGTAAAATGAAATAGTAACGTTTCTTTTATGACAAATTGTAAAACATTGTTGTTTCATCTAATTACCTAATTGGCAATTACTTATAAGTAGGCTTTTTATTTTGGCTTTTTTTAAATAAAAATTAGATTGAATTTATTTTTAATTAATTGCAGATATTTCAATTAACTTTTTCACTATCTTTGTAAAAGTTTATCAAAACAGTTTTTCCTTCATTATAAAATTAAAATATTTATAATAAAAGTTTGTATAATAAAAAGTCACATAAACTCAATAACCAAGAAAAGAAATACGATGAAATCAAATAGTAACGTTTCTTTTATGACAATTTGCAAAACATTTGCTTTACTAAATATATTGTCGTTTCATCTAATTACCACTTACTAATTAGATTTTTCTAAATATTTTACTATTTTACCTAATTACTACTTTATTGGCAATTACTTATAAGTGAACTTTTTATTTTGGCTAAAATTAGTTTGATTTTTTTTTAAATTAATTACAAATAATTCAATTAACTTTTTCAATATCTTTGTAAAAGTTTACCAAAACAATTTTGCCTTTATTATAAAATTAGAATATTCACAATAAAAGTTTGTATAATAAAAAGTCACATAAACTCAATAACCAAGAAATACGTTGAAATCAAATAGTAACGTTTCTTTTATGACAATTTGTAAAACATTTGCTTTACTAAATATATTGTCGTTTCATATAATTACCAATTACTAATTAGATTTTCCTAAATATTTTACTATTTTACCTAATTACTACTTTATTGGCAATTACTTATAAGTGGGATTTTTATTTTGGCTAAAATTAGTTTGATTTTTTTTTAATTAATTACATATATTTCAATTAATTTTTTCACAATCTTTGTAAAAGTTTACCAAAACAATTTTGCCATTATTATAAAATTAGAATATCCACAATAAAAGTTTGTATAATAAAAAGTCACATAAACTCAATAACCAAGAAATATGGTGAAATCAAATAGTAACGTTTCTTTTATGACAATTAATAAATATTTAATTTAATAAACGGTTTAACGATTCAATGAACAGAAACTTATACTATTTTTATATATGGGTATTAATTTTATATATTTGTATATACAAATTTGTTAAAAAGTAATAATTTTTATCATTTATCTATTAATTTTTTGATTTTTTCTATATTTATAAAAAAAACACTTTTATGTAATAAAATTTGAACGTTATTTATTAATAATTATTGAAAATAAAGCGATATAAATTGAATAGAAAAAAAACGTTAAAATCAAATAGAAACGTTTCTTTTATGACATTTTGTACAACATTTGCTTTGAATATTTTGTCATTTTATTTACTAATTAGATTTTGAATAATTATATATTAATAAGATTTAAATTTGTCAATTTTGAGACCAATCAATAGAAAATAATAATTATTGAATAATGAATAATTAGTCATTGATTTTTAAACTTTGATTTTCTAATTTTAATTTTTTTAATAAGATCTTCAAATTTTTCAAGACAAATCAAAAATTGCTAGACTTTACATATTTTCACATAATAATTACGATTATTCAATATAAATACTCTTACGTTTCATTAATTAATGATTGAAATATTGATATATTTAAAAAAATAGTTATTATTACGCCTTTTTGTAGTATTCAATGGAATTTATGAGAATTTGGTACTTAAATGTACTAAAAATCAATTAAATAAATGTAAACTTTAAGTGGTTTTGTCATAA